GTAATCTTGTTTCTGTGTTATCATTCTGTCAACAACGAGACTGGAATTTATCAAATATATTATTTCCCTTTAACAGTCCGGGGACAGCTCTGGCTGTAAAGTGATTTGAAATCAAATGAGAGAGACTGACTGACATTAGTCAGAAGCCAGTGGGAGGTAGAAATGCTTTAGGAATAATGTCAGCTAGAAATGTGGATATCAAGGAGATCTGCCATGAAAATCAGATAAAAGTCAAAGAACAGAACTGAGACCCTCGGCCAGGCTGACAGGCTCCGGGCTTGAACTGTGACCTGATACCACTGATCTTATCATCCAAGCAAACAAACAAACAAGACAGGGCACAACAATTAGGCTGAGTGGGATTAAAGAGTTTGCTGGTGGTAAACATTGGATTGGGCTTAATATTGCTCTCATCATTTGAGAAAACTTCATATCTCCTGCATGTGAAGGTAGTGCACGAGGACATTTGTAATTCTTGTGTTTAGTGTTTCTAGGGGGAAACGCTAAATGCTAAAACTCTGAAAAGCTGCAGGCTTTGGGGGACACAGTTAAGGTCCACAGAGCCCCTGCCTTATCTTTGTTGTTTTCAAAGCCCCGTTGACTGTTATTGGCCAACAGGTGCTCAAAGTGCAGGGTCATCTCGACTGTATCAGACCTCTCCACCCACTCTCGTCTCAGCCCCACTGGGCTTTCCTGAAATTCTTCAGAAACTCGAGCAGCAGACACTGTCCGCAGGCAGGACTCTGTGTGTGTGCGCGTGTAATTAGACTTTTGGGAGTCTTTCGGGAACAGGGAGGCGGCTGCAAAGGTCCAACGAGGTTGGGGGGAGTGACTCGGAAAGAGGGGGTGGCGGTGTTTGCAGTAAAAACAGCAAATCACTGTAGCAGACCCCCTCTCTTACAGCTACTTGGTACCACGCACATCCCTCGGTGTCTCCCCCTCTCTCTCTCTCTGGGTCCGGGCCCTGGGGTTGTAAGTCCGTCCTCCTCCTCCGGTGCAGTCCGGTTCGCTCCGCTCGTGTCGCTGCTCGCAAAGCACCGACTCTCCTCTGCAGCTATGGCACATGTCCTTCAGCTGTTTGCTGTCATACTCTCATCAGCTCTCGTGCAAGCATCGGCCTTGCTCAACGACACGTAAGTAAACGTATATTTCTAACGAAACTCATGCATGTCATTGTGCTAAAGTTTGGCTTGCCCCTCGCGCCAAGACGCGTCCAAATAGTTGCACGAGGTGGTGTTGGAAAAACTTTATTTAAAAAAAA